GGAGAAGCCCTCCTGCAGGGATGGACTGACCGATACAAAGCTTGCCAGTGGTGGCGGAGATATGCTCTGATGGATCACGAATAGTTTGATGTCGAACAGTCTGGCTGTAGTCAAAGTTATCCCATGCCACAACGAGATTCCTGCGAGAAGCCTGGGCATTCTGTTTCAATTGTTTCTGTACACATCTTGGGGTAAGAAGTCAGCCAGAACATGTTATTCTCCGGTAAATGCGGTTATAGTACCTGTCCTAGTTCTGCAAGTTCCTTCCGTCTGTCCATGATAGTCTGGTATGCTGAGTTTATCCCCAGGCCAGCCAGAAAGCTAATCACACGTCGCTTGACACCCATTGCATGTAAATACAAGCCGATCAACATCGGGAAGTTGTTGCTTTTCCGTGGTGCAAAAGCGCAAGCCAGAATTGAACAGACCATCACAATGCTGCCCTGGTGGATCTTGGGTGTATCGCGATGGTTTCCTGGAGGTGTCATGATGCTAACGAGCAGTCCACAGAGCTCTGGAGCTTTCCTCTGCATCTGCGTAGCCAAGCTAGAGATGTCCATATCTTTAGGGTCCACATTGGACTGGAACTCGCCGAGTATATCTCCGTTAATCAGCCCTCGAATCTCGGTCTGTATCCGAGACACGAGATCGGATGCACCAGTGGCATATATGTCTTTTGAGACACTACCTAGCCGCTCAATAATTTCAGGTTGCCCATATATAGCGTCAGACAATTTCTGTGCTCGATACGATGTCGAATATCCATTTTTTTTGACTGGTTGTGCATGCACCATGTGGTAAAGAAGATCCTTGATTGTCCACCGGTGCTTATCATTAAGCTCAGCCAGTACCATATCGACACGTTCGCGTGGCTGCAATCCTGAGATATAACGAGATCGCTGAGTAGACGCAGGTGGTTCTTGTAATGGTGAACTGGAAGAAGGCCACTCGAGGGAGGATTGTCGAGCACGCTTTCGCGATCTAGAGATCATATTGGGCAAATCCGGTGATGCCATTCTTTCTAACAATGTCAGAAATACTCTCAGAGAGCTTGAGAAAACACACCTTGACCAAATGGTGGGGTTGCTGGCGAGAACCGGAAACTTGTATGTACGGAAGGGGTTCCCGGCTCAGACCACGGGCTGATGAAGCAACCCAATCGGGTTAGCGTGGCAGAATCGGCAGAATTCTGTCTCATCATTGGCTGTGGTCTGAGGGAACTGAGGTAAGCCGAACGTTTAACGTCATGAGATGACTCAGCTGCCTGTGTATTAGGGTTACCATACGGTATATTTAGATGTTCCGTAGCATTGCTGGAATATGGGGATATTTGGGATGCTAAGTAGATAGAATAGACAAGATACATAGATCAATCAAATTTTACATTTTAACTATATATTCGTATCCCATGTTATACCCTAGTTGTCATTGAATCTCGAACATTGTATCACTGGGCCCGTCACCCGCTAGTCATCGACCTAACCGAGTCCGGTACATGGCTTCGCCTTCGACAGTCGAGCTACAACCCTCCGGTTCATTTGCTCTTTTTTTTGCTGCCTTTTTCACTTTTGTCTTCCGACATGAGCTTGGAATAATTTCTCTTCCTTTTCAATCGTTTCGCCCATCATGAGGTAAGTGTCTATCGGGAATGCCTGATGCTTGTCCACATTCCACTCCCAGCATACCCTACTAACCCAATTGTTCCGCAGGTTCGGTGAATATCTCCGCTCTTCCATGATCAAGGAGTACTATCCATACTACATTGCCTATGACGAGCTGAAGAAAGCCCTGAAGACCGACTTCGTTGACGAACCCACCTCCGATAACACCAAACCCGCCCGCAAAGAATGGACCGAAGACGACGAGACACAGTTCGTCTCCCTGCTCGAGAGCGAGCTGGAGAAGGTGTTCCTGTTCCAGAAGCGCAAGAGCGAGGAGATCGTCGATCGCATCCAGGAGAGCGAGCTCGAAGTCAATGATGTCGTCTCCCGGCTGGAGAACACGGTCGACACCCGTCGCTCGAGCACTCGACCTTCCCGCCCGCCGCCTACGGACAGCGACTTCTTGCAGCTGGAACAGACGCTGAGTGATATCATTGCCGACGTTCACGATCTGGCCAAGTTCACTCAATTGAACTACACGGGTTTCCAGAAGATTATCAAAAAGCATGATGTACGTTTCCCTCTCAAATTCAAGTCAATCCAATCAGCCTGCTAACAGCCCTCCCAGAAAGAGACGCAATGGTACCTGAAACCGGTTTTCGCTGCGCGCCTGAAAGCCAAGCCTTTCTTCAAGGATAATTACGACGCTTTTGTGGTTAAGTTGTCCAAGCTGTATGACCTGGTCCGAACCAAGGGTAACCCGGTCAAGGGTGATGCGGCCGCTGGCGGGACCCAACAAAACTTTGTGCGTCAAACCACGAAGTATTGGGTGCACCGGGACAATATTACCGAGTTGAAGCTGGTTATCCTGAAGCACCTGCCGGTTCTGGTCTTCAATGCCAACAAGGAGTTTGAGGAGAAGGACACAGCTATTTCCTCCATCTACTACGATAACACGGATACTTGGGAGCTGTACCAAGGCCGCCTGAAGAAGACAGAAGGCGCGGAGGCTATTCGTCTGCGTTGGTATGGTGGCATGGAAAGCGACCAGATCTTCGTGGAGCGCAAGACTCATCGCGAGGACTGGACTGGAGAGAAGTCAGTTAAGGCGCGTTTCGTACTCAAGGAGAAGCACGTCAACGCCTACCTTGACGGCCGGATGACGGTCGAGCAGATATTTGACAAGATGCGCAAGGAGGGCAAAAAGAGCGCGTCGGAGATTGATGATTTGGAGCAGTTGGCGCGTGAGATCCAATACCGGGTTATCACTCGGCGCTTGGTACCTGTCACCCGAACATTCTACCACCGTACAGCCTTCCAGCTGCCAGGCGATGCTCGTGTTCGAATTTCTCTTGACACTGAGTTGACCATGATCCGCGAGGACAACCTGGACGGCCGCCGACGCGCAGGAAAGAACTGGCGTCGAACGGACATTGGAGTCGACTTCCCATTTTCCCAGTTGCCTCCTGAGGACATCGACAGATTCCCATATGCCGTGCTGGAAGTCAAATTGCAAACCCAGGCAGGCCAGGAGCCTCCCCAGTGGATTCGGGACTTGACTGCCAGTCACTTGGTCGAGGCAGTTCCTAAATTCAGCAAGTTCATTCATGGAACTGCCACCTTGTTCCCCACTCGCATCAACCTGCTTCCCTACTGGTTCCCTCAGATGGACGTCGACATCCGCAAACCCGTCACCCGTCAATACGGTATCCACCGACCGCTGGCGAGCACCTCTATCTCAGCCAACGACGAAGACTCGGACGATGACGAGACTCCAGTAACAGAGGAGAGCACTCTGTACGGGGCCAACGAGCACCAAAATGGCCTCTTCGAGACCAATGGAAATGGACTGGATATCGAAGAGCGCATTGCTGCCCAGCCTCTACCAGGTGACGAAGATTATCCTCTGTACGACTCCGATGATGAATCAGTTTACTCCGACGAACTAGAAGAGGCTCGCCGCATCGGAGGCGCCTACTACGCCCAGCAATTGGCTAAACACTACCTCTCTCGCGCCGGCCACGCCGTTGCACAGGGTCTAACGGCCATAATCCCCCGGCCGCGCCCAACATCCCTGCCACCCCCGAACAGCGCGGGATCGCCGTCATGGGTAGCCGTCGCACCTTCCAGCGCTTCCATGCCCCGCCCGGAAAGCGTGAGTCACCCCCAAACTACCAATCAACCCACCCCATAGCCCAAACCCAATCCAACTAACAAAACAACAGGAATCTTCGTCCCCGTCCGCGTCGAACCAAAAGTCTACTTCGCCGCCGAACGAACCTTCCTCTCCTGGCTCGAATTCTCCATCATCCTAGGCGGCATCGCCGCAACCCTCCTAAACTTCGGCACTGACTACGTCACCCTCAGCTCCTCTTGGGCTTTCACCATCCTCGCCGCGGGTGCCCTAGTCTACAGTCTCTTCCTGTACATCTGGCGCGTGGACAAGATCCGCAAGCGCCGCGACGTCAAGCGCGTCTACTACGAGCGCTGGGGTCCGACGGTTGTCTCTATTGGTCTTGTTGTTATCATTATTCTTAACTTTGGTTTGCGTGTGCGTATGGGCGGTTTTATTGCGCTGCCGGGGTCGCAGAGGCCTGGTGGTGAGAGGCATGGTGGGGAATTGTGATTGGATTACGTTTTGGTTGATTCATTGATTGTATTTGGTCCAGTCTAGTCTGGTCGAGTCTTATACGTGATGTTTGTCTCGACATTTGTCACTATCCTTGTCCTTGTGTTTGTGTCCTTGTGCTCATAAGCGGCCTTTTTTGGATTGTTTTGTATCTAGTGTGTTGGCGTCGTGGTAGGGCGTTGGGTATTGTATATCATGTATAAAGTGCATGCATGGATTTGCAAATATCAGATCTTATAAGTTTACTTCTTGGTTTCGTTTCGTATACAGGCACATGCACAAGTAAGTTAAGTTATTCCCAGAGCTAACGTTAACTTAACTTATGTCCGCGTGTGTACCGTAGTCCTAGGGCATGTAGTTGAACGAAAGTACAAAATAAAGGCAAGAACCGACTGCATTGTAAATCCCAAAGAAATAACGTTAAATCCCACGCCAAATCAACCCTAAAGGAAGCAGAGTGGAGATCTCTTCTCTCCATCTCCAAATCTCAAAAACAAACACCAAGAATCCGCAGTTAAAACGGGCCATCAATGTCACCGTTTGGCAGATGAAGTCATCGCCAGCATTTGGATTCGATAGCTCTTTCAATTCATAGCACAACTAAGCACTGCGCTCCCCCCAGGGACCAAATCCCGGGTCGCGACACCAGGCACCACTCCAGTCTCCAAAGCGAAGGGAGGGCATCTCCCAAAGCTCGCGAGGATCGCTCTTTAACGCGAAGAGCTGTACAATTCTGTCATTTTGCATCTCCCCGGAGAGGTTATCCCAGATCAAAGTGACTGCCACCGCAGCCATGCGGTTGTACCAGAGGTGCAGTGGGTGCCACTCTGGCAAAGGGGGGATATCGGTGAGTACGCAGTAGACGCCATGCTGGCGGAGGAGGAAGGCCATCGATATCCGCCAGGCTTGATAGTCGGGATTTCGACGACGGGGAATCCTTTGTTTGGGTTCAGAGGGATGATTCCAATTGGCAAGATGGGGCTGGTTCCGTGGGTCTCGATGTAGAAATGGATGTACTTGGCGATCTGGACTTCCTTTTCGAGAGCGGGAGCTTTCTCCCCGAGAACGAGATCGGACTCGGTGGTGGAAGCCGAGGTGAAAGTTCGCGGGGTGTCTGAAGCTGGTGTGTTTGTATTAGAATGATACTTTGGGATTGGTTTGCCGATAAGAGGTTGTCTGGATGCTTCTTGGGACTTACAATCGGAGGTGGGTGAATACATGTTGCGAGGAGGTTCTGGGTTGAGGCTTTGGTCAGTCCTGTCTTTGGCTTGGAATGTTGAGATGGTGGCCTTTGAGGTCTTTCGGATGAGGATGCATGATGGATAGGATGAAGAGATGGACGAGGATGACAGGATGTCAGACGTACGACCGGTACTGCCGTGCGAGGCTAAAGGTTCAAGCGTGATGAGCATCTTGAATATAGTTGCCCAGGAGGGTTAGGGAAAGAGAAAGACAGGGGGCGAAGAAGGAAGGATGTAAGGATGAGAAGGGTGCAGAAAAGAAGAGTCGATCAAAAAGTCAGAACGAGGGACTGACGTCTAGGGAGACTAAGAGGGCGTTGGGGCCATTAAATTACTTGTTACAGCTGCCTACTGGAGTTATGAACTCGACGGGGATATTGATCTCATTATTTTGACTTCAAGAGCTGGAAAGGTAGATCTATGGAGCATCCCGCAAATATTAGGGGGTTAGAAGAACCGCTCAATAAAACATCCGTCGATATCCGCAAATATGGCCATTTACCAACCCTGCACACCCAAGGCAGATACCATGGCAGCCAGACAGGACACAAGCCGGGGAACAGAAACAGTCAAGTAGAAGCAGAGACATAACCCAGTGCCGCTGAAAGCAGCAACAAGGAAACAAAGCCTAATCAGCCTCAGCATCCATATCCATATCCTCCCAAGCATTAGGCATCCCGATCCTGCAACGCACCACTAAGTACCAAACATCTCAAGTCCGTCAGGCACGTTTCCATCATGGTACTCGCAGTGTCCATCCCCGAAAGAACGGGCAAGGAGCTGCAAAACCTTTCGAGGGTGCTTGGTATCGAGGTAATAGCGGACGTGGCGGTCCTTCTTGACCTCATGCGAGAGGCTGTTCCAAATCAAGGCACACGCGGTATAGATCATGTGCACATACCACAACTGAAGTTCATGGCCAAGTGGCAGGGGGTGAAAGTCACCATCGACGACACTGCAGACCCCATGCTGGAGAAGGACGAGTGCCAGAGAAGACCGCCAGACCTTGTAGTCGGTGGTTCCGTTAACGGGGACTCGCAGAGGAGCCAATAGGACTTCGATGACATCCCCGCGGAGAAGACGCATTTGAACGAAGGCATCAATGGCAATGATGGTGACTGCTTGCTTCTCGGCGCAGCTGTGGGCTGGACCGGGGTGGGTGGGCTCTGTGTGTGGTTTGTTAGTGATTTCTTGACATCAGCAAAGGGTTGGTGTCCTGGAAGGCGTGGGCAGTTGGAGGGGCAGGAGTGTCCAGATCTAGACATGGTAGATGTTTGCGTTGGGTTGGATGTATGGATACATTTGTACTTACCGTCGTTAGCATTGCTCCCGTCAGGAGCAGTGGAGCGAGCATCAGCAGCAGTGGGACCAGCACCAGCAGCCTTAGCCCTAACACTGGCAACAGGAGAACCAGCATTCGCAACATTGGAGCAAGTATCAGCATCAGCATCTGCATCGCCATGTGAGGCAGCAGGAGAGGAGACCGGAGTATCCAAGTCGATGTCTAGATACAGATCGTATATGTTAGAAGAATTTTCGAGAAAGAAAGAAGCCTGTGCAACGACTGGAGCCAAGGGGGTTGGGATATAACAGCGCTCCAATGTATGTGGTACTCACACTCGGTGGACTTCACAGGAGCATCCGGAATAGCGGAGGTAGAGGAAGTGGCAGAGACAGGGTCACCTTCCGCATTGGTGCCTGAGCCGAGTTTGTATGTGTTAGAAGAAGCCTTGTTCAATGCCTAGGGGTGGGGGAGGGGATGTGCTACTCACTCTCGGTGATCTTTCCCAAAGCACTAGCAGGAGTAAATGCAGTAGCGGAAGGCGAAAGAGCCGCCGACTCGATGCCTAGACATAGTTCATGCTTGTTAGCCAAGCTCTTTGTAGTGATTTCACAGTTGGAAGATTTGGGATGTCAAAGCTCTGAAATGGATTCTAGTACTCACGCTGACTGAGAGGCTCATTGGAAGGAGCCATCATGGAAGCTGCTGGTTGAGAATTGTCAGTATCCTGTGTGGTGGTGGATGCCAAGGAGATGATCTCAAGGTCTGCTAGATGAGAAAAAAGGAAGATGGAACGAGAGGATGCAGACATACACTTCTTCTTGTTCCTAATACGGTGAGACTTGGCGTTGGAAGACATCATCGCGACTGATGAGAAGAGTGGTTGGAAGATGAAGGAAGAAAGTTGGGGTGGGCGAGAAGAGAGGAAGGAAAGCAGACCAAAAGCTCAGAGAGATACAAGTCAACATTCTCTGGGGCATTTCCTCACACAACAGTCTAAGGCCATCTTCAGCCGCTAAGAGCTGGTAGAAATTACATTCAGAGACATGGTATGGACACCGTATGTACGTCAGACGGCCTTAAATACGAAGCCCTTTCTCGACAGCTACATTCCGCTTGCTTAAGTCTTGTCATTTTGACTAGGAGAGAGAGTAAGAAGCTACACGTTAAGACTGTTTGCTTTCAACCGTAGGGTATCATTTATGGATGGTGGCTATTGAAACCCCATTTGAATTTGTTGACTTCGATAACTAGCAAATTTAGGGCAAGATACCGCGGAAGAGAGAAGGCAGAAGTGAGCAGGCGGTTGGATGTAGAAGCAGGGACATTGCCATGAAGTGTCCCAACATCAGTATCTCAATCTGGCGAAGATATCCATGGATCACTGTGTTAGCCAACCATCACTGTATAGCCTCGAACGATCATCGTCTTCATCCTCAGTCAAATCATTGCGGCCATCACGTGTATAGTCCGGATTCCGACACACGTCCCCAATGAGAGTAAGAGCAAGACCAGGATCGCCAGAATGATCCAAATCAGGACCTCCGCCGTGCATCAAAGCTTCCCCGAAATGAGGGTACTGCTCCTTGAACCCATCAGAGACACTGAGCCAGACCAGGGTCATGGCATGATAGATCATTCGTTCATACCACACGTACAGCGGATGGCCCTCATCCAAACGTTCAAGTCCGGAGATGACCGGCCATACACCATGCTGGCGTAGTGAGAGTTTGATGTTTACATACCATGCCATGTAGTTGCTGGGGCCTTCGAGGTGGGTAGATGGGAGTTCGGTGCCCAGTATCTTGCCTTCTTGGATGTCTCGGAACATCTCTATGGCGCTTGTGGTTCTGGTTTGGAGATAGGAAGGTCTGAGATTGAGAGTATCATAGAAGTTGCCGGTGCGGTCGGTACGTTTGCGTTTGGTGCCATGGTCAGACTCAATCTTCACCTCAGAGGAATCGCCTGGCATGATGTTGATGGGTTCTGTAAGTGGCTTGTTAGTAAGATATTCGTATCGGGTGAAGAGATCATTAGGGGGAAGTTGTTCTCTGATAGCTGGGGAAGATGGAGCCAAAGGAGCCTCCAGGGAGGCGAGGCGGAATTGTGTAGTTCGGGGCCATTTGCTGGCATATAGTGATCTTGCCACTGGTGTATGTACACACGTTGATTACCATTTCCTAAGCCAGTGGCGGTATCAGAGGGCGAGAGAAGCTGCCGTTCCATAGATAGAAACCTTTCTCTGAAGGTCCTGTAGGGAACTCGGGGTTGAACGTGTTCATTTGCATTCAGGTTCCCACTCTGACCGGGTGGTAACTCGGTGTCCTGAGAATCAAGTTTTGCTGGTCGAGGACATATGTTAGTTTTGAGGGGAGTAGGGGCAGAGAAAGAGCTTCTGGAGTCCTCCTAACGAGTGAGTCGGAAGAATGGAGCGGTTATATGTCAGGCGTACCTTTCTTGCCCTTATGAGTAGAGCTAGGCCGGTGTTCGTGAGGCATATTGACAATGGCTGCTATCAAGAGTAGTGAATGGAAAGCAGTTGAAGATGAAAGAGAGACACTGGAAGAAAAAGAGGAAGGATGAAGTGATTATATTTTCGACATACCTTTCTTGCAATGAGGTACTGGAGCTGTGGCTGCTAGTAAGAGAGTGGAAGAGGAACAGGAAGAGGAAGAATGGAGTGGTAATATGTTAGACGTACGTTTCATGCCCTCAGGAGCGTAAGGAAGCGAATGCTTATGAGGCATCCTAGCGTCGCTGCTGACAGAGGAGTGATAGTTGAAAGGAGGACGAAGAAGGACGAAATTTTGGAAGAGAATGAGATTAAGTGAGGAAGATGTGAAGAAGGTAATAAATGCACAACAGAGTGAGAAAACGACGTAAATGTAGTTGATATCAGCCAATATTTACTCCAAAAACTTGTACTTGGCATCTCCACGGACCCTTCGATGCCACGCCTACATAGCACATCACAAAGAACCTGATAATAGTAAATTGATTCTTCATGCATGAATCATAGTGAGACATGCCACGGAACCACATAACGACTATGTACGTGAGACATTATGATCGAGGGGGATCATGAATTCCAGGTTCAAGGATCGTAGTCGACAACAGGAATTGTGGTATCATCCAAACTGACAGTGCCTGGGGCATTAATGCCTGAATACTTGTTAAGCCATCCAAGAACCTGTTGGTGCCAGACAAGACTGTTCTCCTTGTTGAGAACCCTATACAAATCCGTTGAGTCAGCTCCATCAATCATCCGAGAAGAAAGCTTTTGAACTTACCAATGATTTTCATCCGGGAAGTTCAGCAGTCGACTAGGGACGCCCCGTTCTTGCAAAACATTGAACAAGGCTAGACCCTCCGAAACAGGAAGACGGTAGTCCTTTGAGCTGTGGATAATGAGCTGCGGTGTATCGAATTGCAAGATGCGCTCAGGGGCAGATGGGTCCCAACGGCGATAGTTGTCTCGGTTTGCCCAGAAAGTGCCGTTGAACTTAATAGAGTTAGTAAGATATGGTGGAAGCCGGGACACAGGTACGTACATCATGTTCGATGAACCATAATTCCTCAGTCGAAATCTTGGCGTCGGCGACGAATGTGCCGTCATGGCTAACCAGTGCCTTGAATTCACGACCGAGAGGGTTGCCTTGAATCCAATTGATCATGAAACCACCATAACTGGCACCGGCTGCCACACCACGGTCTGTATCAATGAAGTCGAAATTGTCACGGACATACTCCCAGCACTTGACCAAGTCATCGTAGGGGTAGCTACCTGTTGAATGTTAGGACCCGAAGAGGAAGGTAAATTTATGCGACATACCCCAGTTGTTTGTGATCATGTCCGTTAGCTTATCACCAAATCCTGTACTGCCAGTTGGGTTAGGTGCAACAACTACATATCCCTGATCAGCGAAGGCCTTGTAGTTCCAACGACTACTCCAGGAATCGCCCCAAGAACCCTGGGGACCACCGTGAATGTAGAACAAGAGGGGGTATGACTTTGACTTGTCAAAATTGGGAGGGTAAATGATCCAAGATTGAATCTAATTAGTTAGCATGATTCGATCCCAAAAGGTAAGAAGACTTACATCTGTCCAGTTGCCCTTGTAGTGGAACTCATCGACGTCAGCGGGACTCAGACCCTTCAGACTGGGATCGACTGCATTGGCAGAAAAGAGAAGCTTGGTGAGACCTTTGCCTGGCTTTGCGGTGTAAACTGTCCAGCTAGACCAGATAGCAGTGCCGGATACTAAGACCTCGCCGTTGGGCAGGTTATAGTACGCACTCACGGAGCCACCATTGGTGAAATTTTTGGGTTTGAAGTCATCGCCAGCATTGGCGGGCAACAGGAACAGCCGTGTACGGGCATGGTCTTCAGTGTTTGCAAGCAGACTCTTTCCGTCAGCAGTCCATTTGACAGCACTTGGCGAGCGGTCCCAGTCCTTGGCCAGAGTTGGGATGGTCTCCTTGGAGTCAATGGTATAGACATAGAGAGTACGGCGGTCCGACTCATATGCGACGTCTTTCATTTGCAGGTAGGCAATACGACGACCATCAGGAGAAAAGACAGGACTGCTGGAATCACCCTTTATATCCTGTGGTGTACCAGGACTGTCCGGGCCATTGATTGCGACGGCCTCCTTAGACCCGTCATGAGGCACGAGATAGATATAAGATGCAGTGTTATTTGCACGCGGCAATTCAGGTGCCTTGCTCTTGAACGCGACCAATTTGCCGTTGGGCGAGATGTCATAGTCAGACGCATCGCCGAAGGGAGGGCTGGGAGATTCGAGGTTCTTCACTCCTGCAACGAGGTTCTTGAGAGATCCATGAGAGGAGTAGCGAGATGCCGCGCCTTGTCCGGCTCTCTTTACCTTCAAAGTTCCCGAGAAAACAGCATTGAATCTCGTCGTGAGCCAAGTGTCCCAGTGGCGGGTGTAGATGCTGTCATAGATACGAGCCGAGCTCAAAGGCGCCGTTGCGAGCTCCTCGTTGTAGGCAGTTCCATTGCCGTAGGACTCTCCATACACCAGGAAGTTAATGTCTCCAGACTTAGTAATGGCGGTCTTGAGACCAGACAGCGGTGCCGGCAGTGAGGCTGCCTTGTAAGCGCTAAAAAAGTGTTAGCAACATTAAATCAGATATGAATTGACGCATAGAGACTCACGATTTCGTAAAATCCGAGGTATCCGACACCCAAACCTCGACACCTCCAGGGATGTCAGCATTAGTGCCGTTGATATACAGCAGACCCGAGTCTGTCGACCCCAGCCAAATCAACTCGGAGACATTGCTATCGTTGGTGAGTTGGGTGGCTTTCCCGGTCTCCAAGTCCAAAAGACTCCACCACGACGAGGTGGTGTGGGTGTCAAAAGAGTACTGCGATGTAGAAAACAGCGCGACTTCCTATAGTTACTTCGTTAACAACATTGACCGATAATGATCACGATAATCCAACTCACTCCAGATGGATTGGGAATGGCTTCACTCCGCCTCGGAGCAGTGATCAGCTGTCTACAAGGAATCAATCAGTAAGCAGAAAAAGACTGGAGTCGATAATCACTGACTCGGGAGTAAGTGCCGCTGCAAATCCCACTATAGACCCTACGGCCATCCATTGAAATTCGCGCATATCGGCAAAAAGATACGCGCACACGCAGCTAATGATAATTCCACAGGAAACAAGCTGGACAGCATGCAGGATGAAGCCGGTATAAAAGCTGGAGCTCGGCACGGGATTAGCAGGCATGGCGGAGGCGGCAGTTTCCCGTTAAAGGGGGGCATGTTACATTCCTCCGCTCTGCCAAGAGAAATATGCATGATGGACTTGTTATCGGCCATTTCCAAGACGCTAAAAAAGCAAGTTGCGAACAAAGAAAGAGTCGCTGCAAGGTCCGGCGGTGGTCCGCCTGCTTAGCTTGCAGCGCCAAGACTCCTCGACGGGGTTTCCGCTGATAAGCGGATGGTAACACCTGCGGGCAGTCAGATCAACAGGGGCATTGTTCGGCGAGTGTTCTAGAAAGGGATAGCCATAGAGTTAAGCTGGGAATTTGGTCAATTGTTCATACGTCAGAGGTCTTTGGAATGGCTAATAGATCACACCACAGTAAGGCCTAATGATGCTTACGGTCCGAGCAATGGTGTGACGCTTGGAAATGCGACAACATATGAGACCCCAAGCATTGTTATAACCAATGAATGCATTAATCGCTATAGTACGTCTGACGGAATCACTTCAATACTCAAAGTCATCATCCACACCGCCCTTACTGGCGCTCTCCTTGGTGACCGCTTCTTGCTTGCGGTACATTTCCGCCACGGCACGGGTAGTGGTGGCTTCATCCGGTTTCTTGTCATCGCGGGCTTTGATATACCGCGGGAAACGCAGAGAAACGCCTTTGCCACCACCCGTTGTACCCTCGAACTCGTCGGCAGCGGCCTGGTAGCGGGGACTCAGCGTCAAATCGGCGGTCTTCACTTCCCATACTAGTCGCGGCTCAAACCAGACATCTGGCTGATCCTTGGGTACAGTCGAGTGAGTGTAGAAGGGCTTTGGGCGGTCGATCACCAATGGGCTAAGGGTCTTGTGGAGCTCTTCGAGCAGTGCCTCAGAGAATCCAGTACCGATGTTGCATATGGTTTCGTAGGTGTCCTTGTTAGGGTTGTAGGCAGCGAGAAGGAAAGCACCGAAGACGGAAGTACGTTTACCACGTCCGTAGTAAGCACCGAGTACGACAAGATCGAGAGAGTCACCAACGCCGGCAAGATAATCCTTCTTGACCTACGTAAAAGTTAGCAGTGATTCGGGATTTCAATATACCAAGAGCCGTACCTTGAGCCAGTTGCGACTTCGCTTACTGGGCTCGTAGCCACTCTCATCTGTATCTAGCATCTTCACCATGAGACCCTCACACGAAGCTTTGACACTGTCCTCAAGCATTTCCTGGATCTCATCGAGAACGTTCGTGTTGCCGTACTGGGCGAACTGGAACTCTCCCTCCACCGGCTGGAAGCATTCATGCATGAGTCGTCGACGTTCCCGAAGAGACTTCTTAACACATGGCTATGAAAATGTAAGCGAGAGCAACATTGGATGGTAACTGGGATTCTTACCTCCCCGTTAAAGAAGAGCAAATCAAATGCAAACACGCAAACCTTGACTGTAACTTCATCGGCCTTGACATCCTTGCGCTTGCGGGTCATCAGTTGCTGGAATGGGAGAACCTTTTTGTTGATTGTGTCCCAAGCAACGGTCTCACAATCAAGCACAAAGCTCTTCACGTCGTCTTTGACCCAGGTGTCTAGCTTGGCTAGAACATCGGGATACTTCTTGGAAAGATCTTCGGAGTTACGGGAAAAGATTGAGCATAGTCCCTTGCTGTCCTTTTGTAATGTGTTCTTCGCACTAGGGTATTGGTGGATGGAGTCTGGCGACACGAAATGAATCTGGGCTCTCTCTCCATCGTACTTATACTCGCAGGTGAACTCTTTGCCCTCAAAGCGGTCGAGAACCTCAGTGATGGATTTAGTGGGCTTGGCAAGCATGGGCTTGAGAGGTACACCGGGTGAAAGTTTGCAGACTTCAGGTAGCTTGAAAAGACCGTGTTCAAGGATGGCGGGAATGATCACCTCGTAAGCAGGAAGCTCACTGTAGACAGACTTGAAGATGTTTTCTCCTGCAACCATCTTTTCTGTGGATGGGATCGCCTCGCCGTTTACCTCCGCTTCATGGGCCTGGACTGCCCGAGCAACAGCTACGAGCACTGTTTTTTCTGCAAGTCCCAGTCTCAATTTTCCTTCCAGGAAGCGAATAATGAATTTGGCTTCGCTGGCACCGCCCTTGTCCTTGGTGATGTCCACTCCTTTGCCTGCCTTGCCAGCAGTTGCGGCGTCGGCTGCAGACAACAGTTTCTTGATACCCGAAATCTTCTTGTCTTGGGATCCATGGCCCTGGACCTGAGCGATTGCCAGTAGTCCTTCATGGACACCACGGACAGTCAAAGGCTTGGGCTTGAACATAGTGGGTTGGTTACCGCGACTCTTGGCAGCCACCAGTCCCAAATCTCCGATCTCCTTTTGGTCAGCTTTGATGATAGCAAGACTGCGACCAGTGCTTTCACCAATGGCTTTCATGATCAAAGACTCTCCAATACCCAGTTCAATTCCGGCGTAATCAGCAGCCAATTTATTGATCATCAACTGGACGGTGGAAAGGAAATCCGCGGGGGTCAGACGAAGAACCTGGCGAAGGAACAGCGAACAATGGTCCGTAATCTCCAATCGCTTTCTGGTCATCTCAATCAGGGAGAAAGTGGTGCATAGCGCGGCATAAGGAACTGGCTCGCCGGCTTTCCAGTCCGGGTATGGATCTTTTCCGCTGCCTTTCAATTTGGCTTGGAACTTCTCGATGGATTTCTTCTTGAGCTCGGGCTTGAGGTCATCCTCGTCTTCACTTTCTGACACCTCTTCCTCGTTGTTAGTCTCAGCAGGTCCTTTCTCTGCAGATGTCACGTCGGCAGAGTTCTCCTGCTTTGTAGCGGGTTTTGGTGATTGTGATTCAGCCTTGGGTTTCGTGGCTTTGGGCTTTTTCGGAGACGGTGTCTGTTTCTTGGCAGCCGGCGAGGCAGTAGCTGAAGCTTTTCTGCGGCGTTTGGAGACAGGCTGTACATCTGAGACGTCGCTTTCTTCTGCATCCGAACTTTTTTCCCGCTTCACGCCTTGCGCCATGGCATCAGTGGGCGCTGCATCGGTGTCCACCTCCGCTTTAACATTATCTGTATCCTGGTTGGCATCTTCATCAGCAGCACCGCTGTTTGCCCGTTGTCTTTTGCCGCCAAAAGCTAACGTAGTTTGCTTTTTGGGGGCTTGATTTGCGTTGGCGTTCGAACCAAAGAACCTCCTGGAATGAATCAAACCATTAGTAAACTAAACAGTAACAGCAACCAAGATTTATCAGTAGAAAAGGACGCATGCGCCATCCATATTCTCTCGACGCACCCAATCGTCTGCTGTGAATTGCGAACATACCCCAATGTAGCCTGCTTCCCACTCTTGTTTTCAGCCATGTTTCGTGGTAGTGATGACTTTGCTGTATCCCAGTGGGTGGCTAGCGGACTCTGGAGGTTGGAAATGGTCGAACGATGCACCAAGTGTGGTGTTATTGCGATTGAGAAAGCGGGAGGTCGTCCAATGCGGCTGGGTTCGAAGCGCGAGAGTGATGGAGGCGCGATCTTAGAGATCCGCGAAAACCGCATAGACTTATCCCTCACAGCCAAGTAGGCACAGATTATTCAATAAATAGACTGAGCAAGAGCCGCAATTGAGCCAGGCAACACTTAGGCAGCGCCAGAGTTCCCACGCGTTGCGACGCGCTAGCGGGAAGCTCACGTGCAGGGTCATTTTACCCGATTGGGACTAGCCAACCATAATTCCTAATCAGGTTAGCGTTATATCCACACTTCCAAGTTACACCGCCTCATCATGCCAGCAAAACAAAGGCGGTATGTATATATCCCGCATTATTTCTATCACCATGATCCCAATTACCTTCTGTCTATTTGTGTTTGATGCTGCTCGACTGATGCTATCTTGCCAACCCACCTCAAGCTCATCTCTTGAGTTCTCAAGGAAAGCTTCCATTAGCTACAATGGCGACGTCCACTCAAGCAGCCTTTAACCAGGTATGGTTCGATGCTTATGGAGCAGCTCCTCGTGCGTAGCACACAGCTGATCTTCAGATAGCTTCGGAAGCCATGCGTTGAGCTCAACAATGTTATTCTCCAGTTCCGCGGAAACCACGCTTCCGCCACCGACGTTAGTCGGGCCCTCGAACCGGTGTACACCTGTTTGAACACACTCGCGGAGGATGGTACGCTTGACAAGAGACTAGCTGAATACGTCTTCTTTCCATTATCCCAAATCTTCAACGAGACCCAAAGACTCTCCGCAAGATGTCTTGAGATTGCGGTCGGCTCCCTGCGAATATTGGTATCTCATGGATGGAGCCACGATCTTACGCCCGATATGGGCAAGCAACTCATAATCCTGTTGACGTTAATTGTGGGAGGATCACCGAATAAAGCCCAGGCGCCGATTGTGCCCGAAGAATTGTGCATTGCTGGATTCGATTGTCTCGCTGCTATTTTCAAGGCTTTGAGAGGCGATGTTGCTCAACAGAAAATCTTTCATGAAATTGGCACGGCAACAGTCATTGACCAGACAGTTTACATTCTGCTTGAGGGCATTGTCGATGAAAGGTCTGATGAAGTTTGCACGAAAGCTGCCCAAGCCCTTTACGATCTTTATGACCGTATCACAGACCGGGTAGTCCTTGCCAGTATCATGCCGCGAACTGTTTCGGCATTGGCTAAAGTTCTGAGGCCAACAACACAAGTCCGGAGATCATACATGCTGCTTGAATTGTGTTTGAAAACACTTACCCGCCTATTGAGAGCTGTTCTTAATGATGAAGTCGCCGCTGATGTCTCCCCGCCCCCGCTGGGAAGCGAGAAAATGGCTCTGGATGAATCTTGGTTGAAGGCTACAACAACACAAATCAAGTTGGCATTGGCCAATGTCATTCAAGTCCGTCGTCATCAGCGAATCGAAGTTCAGGACGCCCTCTTGGACCTCTGCATGATGGTGATTGAACAGTGTCAAACCACTTTGTCAGACTCTGTGCCTATTATGGTTGAAACCATCGTGGTTCTGGCATACAGAGAGGACGAAGGAAACAATAAGGCGTACCAG